CAAAATGTTTGCATATTTAGGAAGCTTGGTTTACCCCAGGAAAAGGGCCCATTGTGCTACTGGTTGGCTGGAGGAAAGACTAAGAAACTTCCGAAAGAGGAACGAAGTTCGTAATCCATTTGCAGGAATAAAGGACACTGCCACAGTTACAACATCTAAAGTGGCGAAGTACTATAGTATTATTTGAATGCCATACTCAAAAATTTGGTGAGTCCAAAATTGTTTATTGAGCTAATGGTTAGAATGTGAAACAGAAGAGTTTGATCATCATGGCATGAAGGAATAGCTAAAGCACCACAATGAGCTTGCCACTACAGTTAAGAATTTTATGGAGAAGACTAACATAAATAGAGCAAAATGGATAAGAGACAACAAAGACTTCCTATAAGAGTAATGATGGATGAATACCTAGATTGTTTGATAAACCTGCAATGGTGAGTAAAACCCTTATGGTGTTTTTTCAGCATTTTTAACAACTTCTACATTAAGCTACAGATATTAGTCCAAATTAAGAAGTATAGCATTTAACCACTTTTTTTTTATTTTGACAAGGTTGAAGTCAGGGGCTGATCTAGGATTTTTCAAACATCAGTCATAAAACGTCGGAGGCGCTCCGCACCTGGGGGGGTCTGAGGCATTCTCCCCTGAGAAATTTTGAATTTCAGAGTCTTGAAAATGCCATTTTCAGCGTTTTAGAGCAATATAAAATGTATTTTGTGGGCATCGGTTTTGCGTAAATACAACACATTTTGCTTATACGTTTTTTTTCAAAAAAAAAATAAAGTGAACAATACTTGAATGTTTTGCCAAATATTTAGGCTCATTATCATGCCAAATATATGGCTCATTAGCATGTCTAGGAACGTAAATTTATTTTACAATAATGCTATTCAAAAACAGATATATTCTTTAAAATTTCCTCAAGTTGTCAGGCATAGACCCCCCTAGAGACCCCCATTCAAACCTCTATGTAATAAGTTAAGTTAGAAATTTGGTACTACAAGTGACAGTTCATAGATATAGAAAAGCTCAGACTTCAAACCATGCAAGTTTATTGTAACTCTTTACTCATCTCCACATCAGTGACAGCAAATTCACCCTTTGAGAAAAACTCAAAATTTTTCTGCCAAAGATTAAGCAAAATTATCAGAGTGAAAATTTGCAGTTAAGCTTAATGCCATAAATGTTTATTAGGCATTTCACTAGACTATTATCTTCTGCAAGGTGTGCTATATAGCAATCACTAGTAGCATTGTATTATCAAATACAAACAGAATGTAACCAACATGTCTTTAATTATATAATTACATGAATGTTAAAAATGGTTTATGTCATGCTTACTGGTTATGATAAATATCTTTTCATATGATCAAAGCTTGTTTAAATGTAAAACTAAAATAATTTAGTTTAGAAATTATAATGATCATCAGAAAAATTACCTAGTGATCATTAAAAATACTTTGCTGTTTTGCCAAATTTCAAGGTTTATCTGCATACATAGGAAGACATTTTTACTTTATAGAAAATGCTTTTCATACATCAATAGCCCTTTGGAATTTATGGCAACAATCTGGTATGAGCCGTAGATTAACACACCTTTACATCTCTACGTGAGGTGTTCAGTTAGAAAAGGGGACAATATGTGACATGGGACAACATTTCATGTATGTGTAATACCATTTCAGTCAAATTGTCAAAATAAAAAGCTTCATGGATCAGAAGACTAAAAATCACAGATTATAGTAAACAGCTTCTCATGTAATCAATGTTAGTCTTCTCAAATCTTAAACAATATGTAGTATAACTGTCCAATGATTGAATGATCAATGATCATAAACTGAAAAGCCCCAAACATTTGTTTATGATAAAGTAAATAATAGTATGGCACCTTATGGCTACAGATTTTTTGTCCATTGAAATATATTTGCAGAAATGTAGGATTTCGCTGCCATATAACGGCCACGATTCACCATGCATTAAAGAAATCATAGCTAAAAGTCCTTCGGCAACAACAATTTTAGAAGCATCAATCTGCTTACCATACGCCATATTAACATAAATCGCATCACACACTCGCATAAATTGACTTTGATATATTGCATTCATTCATACACTTCACTTGTCCTTTACTTACGATTTTCGATGTAAATTTCTGCTGATAAAACTCAAAACAATGTTGGCTTTCTTTTGAACATCAATGACTGAAATGTCGCTCGCGAGATCGTCTTTGCCAAGCATTTACAATTCATCCATAAATTTTTCACCCTCTTGAAAAAATTCCCAGTTTGGAAAGCAGCATTCATGTCAACATATGAATTTGTAAAAGATTTCCATAAATTCCATCTGATTGTAGTTTAGTTTCTATCATGCTTCAGAAAATTACTATGAACGATCAAACATTCAATTCAGACATTGAGCTTGACTATGTTAGTTCAGTTGGCTATCAGTCGAAATCGGTCAAACCAATCACAGTAAGACAAAAATTCAAATGAACCAATTGTAAGATAGCAATTGGACTCCCTTATAGGTCCGGCCACCCCTATTATCGGTCGAGATTATTCCAGACTGTCCACTGATCTGGCCATTGACCAATAAAATAGCGTTTCTGGCGTTCATAGACTCCTTTATAAGTCGAACCAGTCAAGCCACCCCGCTTATCAGTCGGTTATTCCAGGTCAATTAAAATTCAAGATCTGGTTACCAAGGAGATATTCATTGCATTAGTCATTAGTTTTCAATAATAAATAAAGCTGGATTTTTATCACGAAGTAAATGCGATAATAAAGTAAGAATAATTAATGATTTTTAATTAATATGAATAGGTAATTTTTGAATTTCAAACATCAGTCGCGCGACGGATTTGACATACTCTAGATCCGCCCCTGGTTGAAGTGGACTTCAGATTGTTGTATCCTGATGTTGCTGAATATCTTTTCATTCGAGTAACACCAATAATTGTCGAAAAGCTACTCAATTTTGCTAACTTGCAAGAAATCAATTGGACTTTATACCTCTAAGCCAAGCCTGAATATTTAGTATTTGGTATTTTTCAAAGATCAACCTTGCTTTACAAAGACAAAACTAATTCAACCAAATTTTGTTGAACCATATAGTAATAAGAAATCATAGCATCCCAAATACCACATGCTATGCTTCCAGCTATATGGTTTGAGTTATTTCAGATGAGCAAAAACCCTGATGCCCTTAGCCCGCTACCTCACAACTTTCCAGTAAGACGAAATACTAAAAAAGATGTAACATGGAAGAGGCAGTCAAGTCTTCGTTAATGTTACATCAGTAAGTTTGTCTGTCATTTTCAAAATTTACGAGAGATGTAGAGGGAAGGGACTAGATTTTAGCTTGCCTAACCAATCATAAGAAATTTCGAGATAGACATGCTATAGTTGTCATTATTCTATTTTACAGATTGGAACAAACATACCGAAATCTTTGGATGAAGTTTGCAGTTCTCCTCATACTTTGGCAGTTGGTAGCAGGGAAAAACTGAAACAATGTTTTGTCGTTGTAGAAGGGAAGGCAATGGAGCAACCAAACCTTCTGCTAGCCATTGACGTATGCTTCAAATTATTCTACCTGTTAGACATTCATTATCCTTGGCAGTATGCAACCACCCAATTCATTCAAAAATATTTTATCTCTTGGATGACAATGGAAAAGAGCATCACCATCAGTAATTAGCTTAGAGCAGCTCTAAAGTAAATGTTGTGGGTTTTAGAAATGGTAAGTTATGGAAAGCAAAATGAAAAGTGTTAGAAAGAACTGAGCAACCAAGATCTTACACCATTAAGACAGAGAAAAAAGCGATTATTTGATGAAACCACAGAGACATGTTAAGAACATTGGAAAGAGTCGATCCCTGTAATGCAGCCAATGATGAATTAGATATCACACCTGCTTGTCCATGTTAAGAAAGAACTCAAGCAGACACTTTCATCAAACTTTGATCAATCACTTTCGCAATCAAATCATCTCATTCCTAATAACACTGAACAATGCACTCGAACACGGTATGGTAGAGTTGTGAAAGCATCAAAGCGTTATTCAGCTTACGAGAGTGAAAACGAGTGTTAATTTTTACAATTTATGTTTAGAAGAGACTTTCTTATTGTTTGAACATTTATTAAGTGAGATGGTTGTTATAATTATTCATAAGTGATAATTATTCCCAACAAAGCCACACCCAGAAAAGGAATACCATAAATAAACTCGTAATCACTAATAATGGGCAGTTAGTCTTTTATAATTTTAGGTCTAATATTTACTTTAATAAAATTTAGTATCAACATCTCTATTTGACACCTCCCCATATTATCATAATAATAGTACATTATCATAGTGAATGGTCAATTGGGCCTAGATACTGTACAATTAGTTTTAGTTTTTTTTCATTTTGTTCACACGAAAGTTGATAGACTTACATATAAACTTTTCACCATTAAATTAAACGTCTCTTATGCCCACGGCCCACCCTAAAACCCGTTTTGATTATTAACAACACTCCCAAGGACAGCAATTTCTATTTGTGTAGTAATGAAGCAAAATTAACTACTTGAAAGATAACAATACGAAAATCATGTGAAAGAAATAAACTCACCTGCATACTGTTGGCATATATGGGTAACTGATCTGATAATAGACTGGATATAGCTTCTACAGGAAGCAAAAGTGAAGCCTCATTATATATGCAAAATTCACTTCCGGGTACCACGGCGAGACACAAATTACTATAGAAATGTATGGCGGATAACGTTTACAAACATGGATTTTCGAATATTTAAGACCTTTTGCGACTCCTTACTAACCTCAAGTATTAGTCATGGATAAAACAGGTTATGCGAATCGATTTGACATCAAAATGATTCCGATAGCTCTAAAATATCGATGTTAGTGGTGATTTAAAAGTTGTACATGAGAATGTATTTTGTCCCATCGTTGCCAATGCAAGATAGTTCACTGCTCGCTTTCCAATTTCTGAGGCAGTTATGATCTAGTATACGTTTCAGTTCTTTAGAAATGAGGTGAGTTACTTTTTATCATTCTTTCTTTATGTTGAGAGATTGTTGACATTTTATTTTTGCTGTAACTTCATTTTTCATGAGCAAAGTACTACTGATGCTTAAACAAGACAAGTCTATTTAGTTTCTTTCGCACTTTATCTTTAGTTTCCATTTCTGTAGTTGTTTTCTCAAATGGTATAGTCGCACTTTGCGCTTGATTATTCAAAGAAGTATGATTTTCATTGACATTAAAATCTAACAAATGCGTTCTACACACATTAGGACACTTTAGTATACTGCTTTTGAAACATCAAGGTAATGTAGCCAGCCAGGTATGAATTTGCAGGCCCTCATTATAATCATCTTGGTTTTGGTTTGTCCCTTAAGTTAATTTAAATTATCAACAGCAACATATGACTGTGTCCACAGTTTATAATTATAAGTGTGTCCAATTGTATCCAGTATATCAGTTTCACATTGTCTTGTGCTAATTCCTTTACAGCCATGAATACTGCCTCTCAGCAACAGTTTATTGTCTACAGCTGTAAATTGGTCAACTGTTGGTTTGTTGAAGTCACACTTTACAAGTGGAATAAAGCTCTTGTCTTTCTTATTACTACAAGACTCAAGACTGATGATCAAACTGTTGCTGAAAAGGATTGTAATGTCAACTGCAATTCATACTCATACCATCCCTAACTACATTCATATCTTAAGAATAATTTTAATGTTTTTGGAAAAATATTTAAGGCATTAATATTACATTCATACTAACTTCTGGAATTTGCTTAGCACTTAGAAGAGGAAAATAAAATTTAGAGCAAAATTTGGAGTAGACATCATTTCTTTTATTTGTGATGGACCATCATGTCACTTTTCAATGCTGCATGAACTTGGGGCTCAATTAAAACTTCCTGACATCAGGCCATACTTCTCACATCCATTGAATCAAGAGAAGAAGATATACATTTTTCTTCATGTATGTCATATGCTCAAGCTTGTAAGAAATACTTTAGGGGATGGTGGGATGTTATTTGATAAAGACGAAAACAAAGTTTGTTGGGAATATTTAGCTGAGTTACAAAAACTACAAACAAAAGCAGGGTTGAGGCTTGGAAATAAGTTGAAGTTTTTGCATATCCAGTGGTGGCAACAAAAGATGAAAGTTAATCTTGCTGCTCAGACTTTCAGTGCCAGTGTTGCAGATGCAATTGATTACTGTAGGGAAACTCTAAAGCTTCCACAGTTCCAAGGTTCAGAAGCTACAGTGAAGTTCAATAGAACTTCAAGAATGATAAAAAAAGTAACTCACCTCATTTCTAAAGAACTGAAACGTATACTAGATCATAACTGCCTCAGAAATTGGAAAGCGAGCAGTGAACTATCTGGCATTGGCAACGATGGGATAAAATACCATTCTCGCATGTACAACTTTTAAATCACAACTAACGTCGATATTTTGAATCATTTTGATGTCAAATCGATTCGCATAACCTGTTTTATTCATGACTAATATTCGAGGTTAGTAAGGAGTCGCGAAAGGTCTTAAATATTCGAAAATCCATGTTTGTAAACGTTATCCGCAATACATTTCTATAATAATTTGTATCTCGCCGTGGTAACCGGAAGTGAATTTTGCATATATAATTAGGCTTCACTTTTGCTACCTGTAGAAGCTATATCCAGTCTATTATCAGATCAGTGATATAACCACTATAACTTCCTTGTATAGAATATTTATTTGTCTCCAGTTTTCTCCGTGACTGTAACCGCGCCGTGAATGTTAATGTGAATGTTATTTTTGTCGATTTTTGACATTTGGAGACAGTTTTCGATGGATGGCGTCGGTTGCCGTGTAGTAAGAGGTCCCGACTGGAAATGGGGAAAGCAGGATGGTGGTGAAGGTCATTTGGGCACCGTAAGAAGTTTTGAGAGTGCCGATGAAGTTGTTTGTGTGTGGGATAATGGCACTGCTGCCAACTATCGTTGCTCTGGTTTTTACGATTTGAGAATCTTGGATTCAAGTCCGACAGGTATTTGAAGCAACTGTTTGTTTCTGTGGACGAGCATTTTTTTTATTTTAAAGAATTGATAAAGTTGACGAATCTTGTTTCAATGCATCAATGCCAAAATATTCAAAATGACGCTTTTATGTCGTGAATTAGTTATGAATGATTTGGCTGAGTAAGAGAGATCTAATGTTAAAACTTGATTTCTTGTATACTCCTGTCTAGTGTCCTCATTAGGAGTTTTCTGATGTTAAAACTTGACTCCTTACGTACATATTCCAGTCTAGTATCTTTATCAAGAGTGATCTCATGTTAAAACTTGAGTTTTTTTATACTCTAGTCCAGGGGTCTCCAAACTACGGCCCGTGGGCCAGATGCGGCCCGTTAGGCCTCTCAATCTGGCCCGCAGAGACACTTGACAAAAAATAATGATATCATTAAACAAAATAAACTTTGTGCATAAAAGAAAAAGAAAAGTAGATGATGAATTCCGGCGATTTCTAGAAGAGTGAAGTGTAAAATACTTTTTCATCCCTCTTTGACCAGCGGTATACGGCTCGTTGGCCCTCAACACGCTGGACGAAAGTTCATGTGGCCCTCTGGATGTAAAGTTTGGAGACCCCTGCTCTAGTCAAGTATCGTCATCAGGAGCGATCTGATGTTGAAACTTGAGCCCTTATACACATACTCCAGTCAAGTGTCTTCATGAGGAGTGATCTGATGTTAAAACTTGTGTTCTGATATACTCCAATCAAGTTTTATGTTTTACATACTCAAGTCTAGTTGTATGTTGAAACTTAAGTCATTGCTTATATATGTACTCCAGTTTAGTTTCTTTATCGAAAGCAATTTTTTTCCATTGCTAATTCTTTATTATTCTTCATTTATTTAGGTGTGAAACATGATGCAATCATGTGTGATGGATGCCGTCAACACTCAATATTTGGGATTCGTTGGAAATGTGCTGAATGTACTAATTACGACTTGTGTTCACTTTGTTACCATGGTGACAAACATTCACCAAGACACAGATTTTATAGAATTGCAAATCCATCAAGTGAGAGGTACGTATACATTTTGTACTATTTCATTTAATCCCTATTTACTTCACTGAGAAAATCGAAAATGTTTTGACTTGATTCATTGTGTTTGGCATCCATAATTTTTAGTAAATTTGTTGGCAATCTTTGTGTTTGAACATCAAAAATTATCAGTTTTTAAATACATTCTGAGTTGAAACAACTTTATTTTCAAGACACAATTGATTTTGTCAATTTGACCATCCCAATTTTTTGGCTAATTTTCATAACATTAAATTAAGACACCATTTTCTTTAAGTGTATCACAAGGGAAACTAATATAGCCGAAGGAAGTTCTGTTTGAATCAATTACCCATGGTTGCAGATAATTGATCATCAATTAGATCAAACAACTATATTGTGATGAATCAAATTTAAATATTTCAAATTATACATTTTAGGAAAGTTATAACCTGTGCCATATGAAAATCGGTGCTTGGGGAACACTCTTTATATATTTGTGGAATGCCACATTAAGATCCTTTGAAATCAATTGTTTTCTCTTGATTATAAAAATATTACAATACATGTATGTACTTGTAATATCCTGGTTGAAAATTTTCGATCGTCCAATACCACTAGTGTTGACCCTTTAGTGATTAAACATTTTTATGAACTAAGTTTCATTGGCACTTTCTTGTCAAGTGGTGATTTAATCACTAACCCAAATTATTTCAAGCTTAAAAACATAACTTTGAGGTATTTCTCATTTATGATTTGTTGATTGCAGGACAGTTTATTAGTAATTGCATTGAAAGAAAGTGTAAATGCAATATTGACAAACAACAAACAAACAACATTTGTATACCGGCCACTATTAATCCCCGCCAGGGTTGACCGTCCATGAATTTTCTACGCCAAACGTCTCTATCTCTCGCCATATCTCTCGTTATACCCATCGCCTTCATATCACGTAAATGCAATATTGAGCTATACAAAAACTGTAATTACACTGTGAAAATGCATAGTTGCATTGTTAAGATTGTAATTTGATTGACTAAAATCTAGTAAAAGCCAAGCAAGCTTCATTTTAATTTAAAAAACATGACTGTAGTTGTAAGCTGCTGTTGTATGTTAAAAGTAACGATTTCCAAGTTGTGTGATATTCAAAAAAAACAATAATTTACAAAGAATGTAAACACAACAGCAAGTACTGTTCTTGTGGTTAATATTTATAAAAGCTGGGCTGCAAAACCAGGCTTTTCCCAAGCGATAGAGTGCTATAAAACAATAGTTACAACTCTTGAGCAGATGCATCCTTTGACCTTGGTATCAGGCAACCACTGATCTGCTCTCAAGTTCTCCCAAAGTTCTCCTTGGTTTGCACAAGCTTGCGGAAACACAGTAAACATCTTTTATGTATTACATCTTTTAGAGTTTTAATTGAATCAAGGAGGAAAAGCAAAAAAATTTCAGCTCGTGGATTATTTCCAGGTGCTAGGGTTGTCAGAGGACTTGATTGGCAATGGGAGGAACAAGACGGTATGTTTATTTATGATGAATTTTAATAGTGTTAACTATTACATAGTATTGTAATGGAAATTCTCTGGAATAGAACCTGAATGACAAGCGTTTAAAATTACTTGTAGTAATACAGTACTGTGTAATCCGTTTATTTCAGTTTAAATTAGTATTATTGGAAGTAGTACTTTTTCATTACATTGTCGTATCAAAGAATGTTACACTAGTCAAGAAGACTTTATAAACTTTCATTTTTGTGTGTCGTGAGACGTAATACATTTTCCTTTATATCTCTGAGAATGTAGTCAAAACTTTATTAGATAAAGTCAGTCTACAGCACAATCAATATCCTACGTTTACTTAAAGTACCTATCTCAACTTCCGAGAAATAAGCGATTTAAATGGATTGGAGGATATTAAAAAAATTGTTATGAAGATATTTGATTGGTCGAAAATTTATTCTAATGGTTTTTATTGCCCAGAAGTAGGTAATTCAGCGCCTAAAGTGACGTACATAAAGAGAGAGAGAGAGAACACATGCATTTAAGGTGTGGCTTTGATGATAAAGATTTATAGTTAATTATAAACATTTAAAATAGAACTGTTCTGAAGTTTACAGTGACCGGTACGGGTCGCCAGAAAAGTAAATGAAAAGTTCGGTAATTTCGACTAAAATCAATAAATTTAGAACTTCAATACCAGTCACGTCAATAAGTGCATTAGTTAAACTAATGACTGTCGAATATCACCAATACAAATACAATTACATGCAATCTGTAGATTGACCACTCATGTTGTGTTGTCTAATCAAGACCAAGAAATCCCTGGAAGAAATATTACTAATAGTTCATGTACGCGTATCGCATATTTTGATGCTATTGTGGCGATATGTTTGTCTATGTGCCGAATTCCACATAGACTACATATCGCCACAATAGCATCAAAATATCCTTACGCGTACTGAAGTATTTGTAATATCGGAAGCGTATATTTATATTAGCTTTCTGACATCACATCAATTTCGTATATGGAAACTAAAGGACGACCGTGAGCAGGTCAGACCAGGGTAAGACTGGGACGAATGTGTAGTGAGTATTTTGAAATGTGTAGTGAGTCTTGAAATGTGTAGTGAGTATTTTGAAATGTGTAGTGAGTATTTTGAAATGTGTAGTGAGTATTTTGAAATGTGTAGTGAGTAAAATGTAGTGAGTATTTTGAAATGTAGTGAGTATGAAATGTGAGTGAAATGTGTAGTGATGAAATGTGTAGTGAGTATTTTGAAATGAGTGATATTTTGAAATGTGTAGTGAGTATGAAGTGAGTAGTGGAAATGTGAATGAGTAGTATTTTTTGAAATGTGTAGTGAGTCTTTTGAGATGTGTAGTGAGTATTTTAAAATGTGTAGTGAGTATTTTGAAATGTGTAGTGAGTATTTTGAAATGTGTAGTGAGTATTTTAAAATGTGTAGTGAGTATTTTGAAATGTGTAGTGAGTATTTTGAAATGTGTAGTGAGTATTTTAAAATGTGTAGTGAGTATTTTGAAATGTGTAGTGAGTATTTTGAAATGTGTAGTATGATTTTGAAATGTGTAGTGAGTATTTTGAGTAATGTTTTCTTATTGTTTGTTATGTTTTTTAAATTATTTTTCTGGTGACCCGTACCGGCCACCGTAGAAGTTATTCATATTATACGGCATTTACACGAAAGAACCTGTTTTCCTAAGTACGCTTAGTGACCTGCTTTTATTCCCAAGACCTACACTAAAAAAAATTTTTCTTTCCATCAAATATATTGTAAATAATGTTCTTATAATTGATTTAGTTATCTAAAGAAGCTATTTCCCTGTCTATGATAACTATAGGCACTTTAATTATTGTCTACGCTTTAAGCTAGGAGTAACAACAGTGTGAATGCCACAATCGTTGTAGTGAATTCACGACAATCCTTGTGAAAATTGTGTGTTGCTAATTGAACACAAACTATATGGTTGGATTTTCAAGGGCTGTTCCAGGCTACGTACGGTTCAGGTAGGATTCAGTAAATTTATGAAATGATACTGTGGCTTTGAAAGTGGTCAAACTTTCAAGCGTAAATTTTATGACGTATTATTAAGCTACCTGAGTATTTTTCTTATGTGTGAAACTCAAATTGTGACAAATTAGCGGAACGGTTTCATTTTCTATGTTTTTTTTTGTAATTCTAAAGTACGAATATTTTGAAAATGCTCAAGAATTTTTTTAGGTAATAAACAATGGGTCGTTTCAATTTCCAAGAGTATTTCAGCTTTACTGAATCTCTGTTAACCTTGTTCATGTAAACTCAGCTCCTAAATCCTGATTGGCTATGGATAGATCTCCCGTCACGTGTGCGACATTCACACTGTTTTTTGCATGTAGTTCTAATCGCAGGCAACACTTAAGACCTTACAAGGTATATGATATATTGATTGTCTTTTTGGGTGACTTTATATAAAAACATGTGTATGCTGTTATAGTTTTTTAAGATCCTTCTCAGAGATACAAAGGCAAAGGTTTACGTTACCATATTACTCACAAAAATGAACGTTTTTATACTCATTTTAAGTATGAAAATGTGTAAACTTTGATTTGGCAAAACAATTAAAGTAACTCAAACATACATGAAGTTCACATTATGCTTCCACGCTGGCTCTGCTTCATATATCTACACTAAACATCTTTTAATGAAAGCAGGAAAACCTTTCCTTTGGTGATGTTTGCTCAAGTATAGAGTTTTCTTTCGTATTAGTAAACATTTAAAAAAGTAGTTAACTTTAGATTACCATAACACAATTTACACATATATCGACAATTGTCAATATTGGTCCTCGCAGAAATGGTCTTTACAGACCAGTAGCGTAGCCAGCCCGCGAGTTTTGTTCAAGCTATGGAAATGTTTCCGTCTTAAATCACCGTGAAAAAAATAGATTTCTGTACAATTGAGCAATATTTATGCTCCGGAGCTCAAAGTAAGTGCTGGTCAGCGGACACTGACTGGCCAAAATGTTTCTCTTTTTAATCTAATGAGACAAAAGTAGATTTCTATACAAATAAACAATGTTTATGCTCTAGGGCTTAAAGTAACAGCTTGTCAGCGAGCAATGACACGCCAAAGTGTTTTTGACAGGCTAATTTTTACCTTTCCGGTCATTTTGACCGACAATATTTTTACGTCTTTCCCAAAAGTACTATAGTCATGCGATGCATGGTATTACATAAAATGAATAGACTTCAAATATACAATTATCGTTTTCACAATCTTAACTCGTGTTGCCGCTACTGCAGTATGAATGGGTTTAATTTTTTTTGAAAATTTTCATTTGTACAATGGCGTAGCAAATGTGATAATTGTTGATGGCCGTCCTTGGAAAACAATTGATTCCAAATGAGCATAATGCACTTATATGTATGTATTAAACTGGATAACGCACCACGTATAGAATACACAGGATGTCTCATAAAAACTGCTCATCTTTGGAATCAGCCGACATTTAGAATTAGCATTATTTGATCTTCAAGGAGGCGTAATCGCAAATGAAATGAATTACATGCTTGAAATTTGCAATGAACAAAACCCCAATTCGTATGTAAATTGTTTTCGATTACGTATACAATTCTTTGTGCATCAATTATACTGAATCATGCATGTTTTGAATATTGGCTGATTTCAAAGATGAATTTTATTTTAAGATACCCTTAGTACATATGAAAGTAAAGCCAGAAGTTGGTTTATTTGCTTACGTTTTATCCGTCTCACTTTACTGCAATTAAGAATTTGTAAGTTTAAATTTTTTACGTTTTCATTCCTTCAAACATTTCTGTTACAGAAAAAACTATATCAATGGAAAGAAAGACCTGTAAAGCATTTAAGTAAAGAACTATTAAACGTTTAAAAAGGCCAACTTCCGGCTTCAACTTTCATAGCAGATTCAGTCTGATATACTTATCAGTGCATGAACATATATGCATGAACATTAGCTCCCCTAATTGTTGAGTATACTAAAAGAAAATGAAAAGGCTTCACAATTATTAAAACAATATAAAATATTTATTTTGCGCTAGTGAAAAGAATTATTCGTTTTCTCTGCTTTTGGTTTTTAACTTCCATCTATCATTCTACCTAAAGGTACTAGATATAAGTTTGTTACTCAAAAGACCACGCTCTTGAATTATCGTTCTCACCTTTGTAAGTATAGTATTTGTGTCTTTCTTGTTGTTTATAATGTTTTATATTTAGGTGGTACAAGTCGACGTGGTAAAGTGACGGAGATTCAAGATTGGAGTTCCCTTTATCCAAGAAGTGCGGCTTATGTTCTGTGGGATAATGGATTAAAGAACTTGTATCGTGTGGCCTTTGAAGGCATGGTAAGATGTTGTTTCTTGCATCAGTAAAAATCGTTTTGTGCTTCTAAAATCCTGCAAACTATTGTTTTGCATTCCGAAATCGAATCGAAAAGCGACAGAGCTAGACTTCTACAATCGAAAATTTCCAAAGAATATTTTGAAACCAAAACTTTACTAATAGAATTCTACCGTGATCCGATGTTATTCAGAATCTACTGAATTTAGGATTATGAAACCCGTGAACTAAATTACTAATATTCATAGTTAATTGCATTTCAGTGTGATCTGAAGGTTTTAAGTGATGCAAAAGGAGGCTCGTATTATCGCGATCATCTACCATGCTTAGGTGAGGGGATTTTTTAACTTCTTGACTCTCGCTCGTTTTTTTGTCTTAATATTGAACGTTTTTATAGTTTAGAAGAATTTATTAGCTTATTGCTAGTTACGTACCAACTCCCGCTTCTACTCTAAAGATTTCATTTTCTGAAATGAACAATGTCATTTCTACTTTATATTTCATATTCTTTTTTACTTCATGCAATCTTCCTTTGAGTTTGAACTGTTGTTCTTTCATTTTAAACGTTCGCTTCACTTTCAGTTTAATGTTGCTTATTTATTTTAAGGTGAGAGTGGGAGCGGTTCTGATAACTTAGACACTTCAAGCGAATTTCAAGTTGGCGATTCGGTCACTGTTGATCTGGAGTTGGAGATTATCCAATCCTTACAAAATGGCCATGGTGGCTGGACGGATGGGATGTTAGAGGTGAAAAATAGAAACTATTCACTTATTGTCCGTCGGTTGTAATCGTTTTACTACTAAATTTAGAGAGCATTTTGTTTTCTTGGTAAAGTTGCTTTACGTCATATTGTTTCTGAAGTGCTCAGGGCGTAGGAAGATCGATACTTTGGGGGGGAGACAATATTCATATATTCATGTTATATAGGGTTTTTTTTAAATAAATTGATTTTAAAGGATTAAAACGCGCATGTACATTGCCACCCCACTACCACCAATTATCAATCTTCCTGCCCCCCCCCCCCTGAGTGCTATTGTTCTTTTCTGTTCAACCGAGACTTCATAAAACTGTTTGATGTAAGAGAGGTTATGATCATTAATTATACATTATGATCATTAATTACACGTTGTGATCATTGATTACGCATCAATGATTATGCATTATTATTATTAATCGCACATCAGTAATTACTTATTATTAACATTAACTACGCATTATGATCGTTAATTCACAATATCATTAATTACAAATTATTATCATAAATTACACAGACATTGAATACAACTGGAACTATCGTTGGGATTGATGAAGATCATGATATTGTTGTGTCATACTCTAGCGGTAACAGGTACATTCTTTGATATTTTTTGCGGGGGCTTACAAACCTGCAAAACATTCTATATACGTTTTTCATCATTAGTGTCATTTATTTCTTTAAAAATTCATTGTTTTTACAGTGATTGAACACCAAAATGTTCCAAGGTCTGATGATCTTTAACTCTCCCACCTCCTTTATATAGTTGCAATGTTAAGAACAAGGGAGTGTTTAAGCTCACCCAACCACATTTGGTTAAAATATTTGTATATATGGTTACTCTGCCCAGATTGCATTAATCTCTACATTCTAATGGGTTTCGTAAGTTTTTACCCCCCTCCCTCCCCTTGTACCCATTTATTTTGTAGGTGGACCTTTAATCCAGCCGTCTTGACGAAAGTGAATGCTTCACAAAGAGAAGAGACTGCGACTGGAATATCCTCTACAACTATCACCTCACCATCTATCACCACTTCACCTGAATCACAATTTAGTATGGGTGATCTGGTGCAGATATATAATGATGCAGACCGAGTTAGGGAGCTACAGCAGGGTCATGGAGAGTGGACTGAGGTGATGGAAGCGGTATGTGATGTGTTTGGTGTATGACTCAGTAAAGTTTTGTGTATGACTCAGTAAAGTTTTGTGTATGACTCAGTAATGTTATTGAACAGAATTGAAGTCAAGACGAAGTTAGTTCGTATCTCCCTTATGTATGTTCAACTAAGACTTGATGAAACAGTCCTGTATAAGAAATTTTCATGTAGTCACAAAAATATTGAACACAAAGACAAATGAAGGACAAATAATAAGATGATAGCGATATTTACTTGTTCATCTTTCCTTGATATGCGTTAAACCAGAACTTGATGAAACCTACGTACCTGTATATGATAGCCTGATACAATGTCGTTATTCTTACAGACTTTGGGTAAAATTGGTCGTATACAGCAAGTCTATCCAGACGGCGATTTAAAGGTAAGACATTTTCTCGAGCGTTGTAGGATTGAGACTAGTTGAAGCGCTGGCTTAAAATTTTGGCGGGAAGTAGCCATTCAGTTATATTGAGTTCAATTTAAACTTTTAGATTGACATCAGTGGGACGTCATGGTCATACAATCCTTCAGCTGTCATCAAGGTGGTTTCGTCAGATAATTCTCAATTGTTGGGCTCTTCTGGAGGTAAACATAAAATCATTGATATGAATGTTTTATGCAGTGCGGTGTTTGAAATTGAATGAAGAAATGATCTTCGTGTGTGACTTCATAGCTCAGTTGGTCAGAGCACTGCACCGGCACCGCAGAGGTCATGGGTTCGAATCCCGTTGAGTCACCTGATTTTTTCAGGTTCCTGAGACGATTGCTTAAATTGTCCAGCAAAGTGCGAAGATCATTTCTTCATTTAATAAAATCATTAATATTGGCTTTGTTTCACAATAGACAAGCCGTTTGGCCTATATGAATCTCTTAGATTTTGTGGCTGTTTGATTTTACAATTGAAATCCATTTTATATTGCTAGAGGCCAATTATCTACGTATTGTGTTTAACGTAATACATTTATGAATATAGGTCCGTTTGCACTGTAAGCAACGCCGTAACAATTGGCTGTAGCGTTGGCCGTTGCTTACATACAGCTTACAGAACATACTTTGACTTGCTCAGTGGGGATTTTACCATTATGTTAGTGCATTTTAAAGAGCTGAAAATGCTGCAAATATAAAACATTCAGGGATCGTGAAAGATGGACATTTGGTTGGGGGTGTTAGGTGGTGAGATTCATGTATATATGTTCTACTTTAGTAGTTTTTATTGAGATCAATTGTGATTACTTATTTTACGATATGAATATTCGACATCTCACCCTTCAATCTTCCGCGGTCCATAACTTAGAAATTTTACTCAATGTTAAATGTTTTTTAAGTTTGACTGGGGTTTCTCTACTTAAAGTTAACCCAAAGAAATTGTCTTTTCACTCCTTCCCATTTATCGATTGAAAAGGTTCAAGTTCATTTTTGTGTCTATAGAGCGTCTTGGTGCTTTGTTAAAGAAGTTGTTTGAAAGTCACGTGTCCGGAGATCCTATTGAAGAATTGGTTAAAGCATCCGCCAGTGGTGATATTGCTAAAGTTGAAGATGTCTTGACGCGAGATACAGATGTGAGTTGATTATCTTGCTACCTTTTATTAGTTATTACTAGCGCGTGCGCTGATTGGTCGAAATTGGTCGATACAAATCTCCAAACGCCAGGAATTTTTTCGCACCAATAGAATTTTAGTCTTAAAAATTCGGACAGCTTGAAAGACTAACATTTATGAAAATGGCAATATCCGCAGCATAAGCATTTACGAAAAAGCTTTGCGGGATATTTCACCATGATGTTTTTCTTTCAAGTTTGTTTATTTTATAAAAGAAGGACTTGGTGATTTTTCTTGCTTTTTGTGCCGCTTGACACGTAACCTATGTCTAATCGTAAGTAATTGCATAATTGGTTATCAGCTGAAGCATCTCAACGAAAAATAGATCACATTGCTCTTATGTTTCTTGCCGGTTTTCACTGTCTAATATTTCACTGTCTTTGTCATATTTTTTGTTTCCTTTTAAAACAATTACGTTAGTGATAAAAAACTAGACTTCAAGTAATACAAAGTCATTTTAGTCTCAATTGTGACAAATTAAAACAAATAAATGAGTTAAGTCACGGCAAATTACGTCATTTGAAAACCACCGCATAACATGAAACAAAGATAACAATTTGAACCTTGGTCTGCACTGCAACTCATAGTTTTATCTTATTGAATGGTCAGCGGTTTCAACATTGTTTTTGTATATATTTACATTCTGTCATTTCTAAAGGTGAACGGTTTGTTTTCTTGTCATACGGCTCTAAAGGTGAACGGTTTGTTTTCTGGTCATACGGCTCTACAAGCTGCCAGTCAGTATGGACATCTAGATATTGTTAAACTCTTGATCAGCAGGAATGCAAATCTTGAAGTTGAGGTGAGTATCTTCAGAAAATATTTGTTGATTTAGACTAACCTCCAGACTGTGGTTTGTCTGAAATTACACTCCATAAAAATTGTTGTCTGATTAATTGATACATGATCGGTGGTGCGTAGCCCAAAACGATCTAGTTAACGAATTATTAAGCCCTTAATGACCAAGCGCAAGGTCTTTACAGAGAAACACCGAGAAAGCTAGGTTATTAAAAGGATTATTATATGGCATTATTTGACCTGAAACAAAGCTTGCTTTTCTTTTCGTCCTTGCTGTTTTTTACCGATTGACGTTCACGTTTCTAGTTTTCGTCCATAAAAATAAATCGTTTCAAATTGTATCATCTGAATAGTTAAACTGTTTTCCAAATATTGTTCCTTCGAATCACATTCGTAAATGGTTTTTTGTTTCGTTTATTTTGCGTTTTGCTGTTTGCATTACGAAGTTTGTTTACACTTGACTGTAAAATTACGCTTTTTTGGACCGTGGTCGATTACGGGAACATAATAGACCGGCAAAAATGTTTCTGAGCCAATCAAAGCGCGCCATTTTTCCGGAAGTGACGCTTGCCATATAATAAGGATACGTTAATGTTGGACGATTCTCTCTAATAAACTTTACCCAGATTGCTACACGCGAAGCATTTTGGGAGGTGCATCAAAAATTCCATTTTTTTTAGCTTTTAATGGATCAGAAAGTCATTTTTAAGTAGAAGGACATTTGAAATTCATGTATTTTTAACAGGGCTCGAAATACCACGCCTCTCCCCCTAAGTTTTAATTAGACTTTGGATTTTCATAATTTCGTAAAAGCACTATTGCCAATACACATTTAATATAAACGACAACTTTTTTGAAAATAGACATGTTTCGACATCTCATGATGCCATCTTCAGTATGAATGAAATAATAGGTGATACAGGGTATATATAAACAAAGCTCTAGAAAACAAATATTATAAACAAAGCTCTAGAAAAAAACATTACCAAATACCTACAAAAGGCAATTGCCACACACCGGAAAAAACTAAGTAATCTCACGAGGAACAGAACCCTACCATTCACACACAACGAGACGATAACCAATCTATCATCACACCAATTAAAAGACGAAGAACTAGAACTCCTGAAAAATGGCCTTGGCTTCAGCATTAAGCCACTGCGACTCAACTCAACCGACATTCTGGCAACATTCGAAAAAATTCACCAAACTATAAAACACAACATTCGCAATCAAGAAGACTACACGCATCTGAAAACAGAGCTGGCACACATCGCTCACTCGTACATCTCATCTTATCACCCGACACCAGCTGACTTCAAAAAACATCACATCCTTAAAAACATTCGCAACAATCCAAACATTATCATTCTCAAACCGGACAAAGGCAACGGCGTTGTAATCATGGATCGTCAAATGTACCGAAACTCCTGCCTTAAAATCATTAACAATACAGCAAAGTTTACCCCACTCAAAGAAGACGTCACACTACCACGTGAAGCCAAACTACAACGACTATTAAGGAAGCTTCTAAAGAAAGACTCTATTAGCAACAAAGTTTATAATGATATCTTCCCCAGAGGTTCTCAACCCTCACGCTTCTATGGCTTACCGAAACTTCACAAGAAACGAGAACCAGAACAATCGCCTCCACTACGACCAATAGTTTCATCAATCAACGCATACAATTATAATTTAGCTAAGTATCTTAGTTCTCTACTAACACCACTCATACCAGACGGCCACTCCACTAAAGATTCTTTCACTTTCCTCGACGACTTCTCATCTTTCAACTCATCAACTTCTTGTCACAAATTCTTCATCTCCTACGACGTTGAAAGCCTATTTACTAACATACCACTTACTGAAACCATCAACCTAGCAATCGACTTAATATTCACTCACAACCCCACGTTCAGTATAAACAGGACCGACCTCACACAACTGTTTTTAATAGCAACAGCACAGACGACGCATTTTTTATTTAATGGAAAATTTTATGACCAGACGGACGGTGTTGTGATGGGCTCTCCCTTAGCACCCATACTTGCTAACATTTTCATGGGCTCACATGAACGAAACTGGCTAAACAACTACAACGACATTAAACCACTATTTTACCGCAGATACGTTGACGATATTTTTTGTGTTTTTACTAACGAAACTGAGGCCATGAAGTTTTATAATTACATTAACACACAGCACGCAAACATTAGATTTTCTTTTGAAACTGAACAACAAGATCAACTGCCATTTCTTGACATTTTACTAACAAAATCTCACGACAGCTGTACAACATCTACATACCACAAACCAACGTACACAGGACTTCTGACGAACTATTTTAGTTTCACACCACTTTCATACAAGACCGGACTTATACGCACACTAATCGACAGAGCATACAAACTTAACAATACGAAAAATGGCTTTCAACGAGACATAAAACATCACATCCACTCTTTACGAAACTCTTTCCCACTTCACTTTATTAACAGAACCGTAAAACGATATCTCGACAACAAACATAGCAACAACCTCAACCTAGACACCGAAACTCCTGTCACGACGATCACAACCAACACAAATGAAAATTCCAAAATAACAACTCTATACTTCAAACTACCATACATCGGACATTACTCACGACACACTCAACGCAGACTTACAAACATTATGAAACGCTTCTGTACAGATATTGACATTCGACTAATTTTCACATCATTCAAAATCAAAAACCTTTTCTCATTTAAAGACCCAATCCCTGATTCAATTAAATCTATGGTGGTATATGAATTCAATTGCGCGGGATGTAATTCCCGATACATTGGCGAAACTTCGCGCCATTTATCCACCAGAATCAGGGAACATACCATAACAGACAAAAACTCTCACATCTACCGACACCTTCTTAAATCTCACTCATGCAAAACCAACTATTCACCCTCTTGTTTCAAAATCATCGACACTGCCGACACCTCATTCACCCTTAAAATCAAAGAAGCACTCCACATTAACAAAACTAACCCTGACCTCAATGTTCAAGTTTTTAAATTCAATACAATATTTAGTTTATAAAACGCTCGAACGCTCCTCATTATATTATCTTATTTACTTTGGATTTTGTTCTTACGCTCCCCTCTCATTTGAAAGAAGTAAAAGTTTCTCTTACAACGGTCAAACCGTTGTATGGACCTGCCTGTGGTTTTACCAACCAAATTTTCATACCTTTCCCCAAAACATTCTAGTCAGCCGATGCATGGTAACATAAGGAAACGTATGTATTTGCCTTTGAAAACCGACTTTGACTGAGCTAAAATGAAATGGATTCGGCCTTTTTGAGCGCTGTATTTAAGCGTTATTTTCTCTCGAAATCTTTGTCACTTTTCTATTTTAATTTGTTACAATATGAAATAATAAAAAAGATTAGCACTTTTAAGGAAATGAATTACTACAACAATGGAATAAAATGATGTAATTAAGAATATTGAACTAAAAATTAAGATTATTTCATGTCAGGTAATTGCTAACACACAATTTAAAACTCTTGTGGAATTTTTATAGAAGTTTTGCCAGTGCCTATATGTGTTTCGTGTAGCTACATATACCCAAACATATTTTATCAATTTATGACACGATTGACGATATAACTCTGAGACAGGGCTCTATAGTTATATGCGTAGCTTCTGTTGTGTTTGTTTTTTTTCTATCCTGTTCCTCACTTAGATTCTTTGACGTTGATCTTGAAATGGATTTCTCATGGTTTGAAATAACTCTTGAAAAACAGACATTATTTTATAGGCTTTTTCGATACATGTCATATTAGTGCCGGCTATTTAATTTTGTCGGTGGTTTCTGCGATTGAGGAGACGTAAACTCTTCAAGAACGAAGACGTTTATGCATAACAAAAAGTACAGAAGTAGCATAAGATGCCAAGATAAACGAATTCACAAAAAGATGTCTTCACAACAATAACAAAGTTAACCTATAAAAATTTTGCTGTGCAATTTAATTTTGTGAACATTCATTATTTTAAGCGTTATTGCACGTATACTTCATTACTAATTGAAAGAAAGGTTAGCTTCTTAAAAATATCGGCGAATTAAAACGAATTTGGTTGTAGTGCCGAAACCTGGCCCTGATTAAACCCTTAAGGATTTAAGGATTCATTAAATTAAGGCTTATAATCTAGGATTTTGGGCATGGAATTAAAAAAAACCATGTCCCTTCCCGTCGAAAAGTCGGCAGCTAGCGCCGTAAAAATGCCGGAATCTGGCATCTATTTTACATCCTGAATCTCTTAATTTTGCGATTGTCATCGGGCTAGCTTCTTTCTCTTCTTTCCTTTCCCAAAATTTGCATGATAAACATCATCGCATCTAAAGCTTGTCGTTTGTAGGACAAAGATGGCGACCGTGCGATGCATCATGCTGCATTTGGTGACGAAGCCGATGTTGTAAGAGAATTAGGAAGATCGGGCGCCGACCTAAACGCGCGAAACAAAAGACGTCAAACTCCGCTTCATGTAGCCGTCAATAAAAGTCACGTGCTGGTTGTCAAGACGATGTTAGATCTTAAATGTCACTCCAGTTTACAGGTCAGTCGTAGGGGAAATATTTACCTCTTTGAATTGGAAAGAACCAAGCCCAGGCAATATAATAAATATGATATAAGTATACTTGGTCTCTGAGCTCAGCCACACATAGTATTGTATTTTTAATCTAACAAAGTATTTTCCAATTTTACTGTTTCAAAACCTTGATCATACTATATAGACAATAGACATGGCTGTACTCAGTGACTAAGTAATCACGGAGCCTTTTAAACTCAGATTGGCATTCTGCATTGGAAATGCCTATTTAAAACCGATATTTGTAAATTTGATTCATTACAACGTTGTCAGACCTGCTTTGGAAACTTTTCAGACCTGCTTTGGAAACTATTGATAAAAACCTTTTTCACTTGTCTTTCTTGCGTTTTGTCGTATTTACTTACATTGATCGTAGCATGTATAATTGAATTATTTCGCGTGTTTGTAGCCACCTATCTAATGAAATTTTCCTTCAACGTGAAATATGTTGCGTGTTGTTTCGATAAATTTCTATCGATCAAGGCCGAAAATTGTTGTTTTAGGGGAAAATTTGTAGCTTTCAAGGACAAATATCAAGGTCGTATATCTAATATCAGTTATTTGTGAGTGAAGATTTTCCCAAATGAAGAGGTCATTTTCGCTTCTGATGAGAATTTACAACGTCAGTTGCATTTACTTTTCGTCTAAATTTAACTCTGGGTTAGCGTTAATCGCCTTTTAAAAAACCGTCCCCCCCGGTATCATTAATGGTACGTTTTAAGTTTATTTAAAACAAGACCTATTCGTTGCCTCACTCAAGGCGAGCTCGATTTCAAATAGAGGAATTAAGTTTTGCAGAGCTATGAAGTTAAGATTACTGAAAATGTTTTTCCAAAATATTGACTACATCTTTTTATCATATATATAAGTAAATTGGCTCGATAGGAAACGCACAAAATGTCTAAAACCGCTAAACTTGTGATCATGAAACAGCAATCTCTTCAAAGTGTGAAGCTCTAACAAACACAAACAGCAAATTTGGCAAATGACCATGTTTAATACTTAGCATTGCTAAACATGGCAGACTAAGTGACCGAGTAAATTTAACAGTTCTTGAAATTCAGGTCAGCATTTGGTATTGCCAACCTTAAAACGATATTCGCAATTTTATTTGCAAATTATTCTTGACAACCTTCTATGGTCGTGATGAGGATATTGCGCATATAATAAATGCAGAGATATCAATCTCTTCATGTTTTGATGAGCAAGGTTGACTTGTGCAGACTTGCGCTACTCCGCTTTGTTTACATCGCTGTTTCTTTCCCTATATCATGATAACTCTGCTACGCAACGTCGTATGTTTCCTGGAGAAGCATGCATATTTGCCATGAATAACAACTACAGCCTTGGCAGCTCTGATAAGAACTGCTAAAACACAAACATTCAAAATACTTTAAACTATAATGCTGTTTGTTAGAAATTTCTAAAGAATATTTAAGGATCAGAATATCACCAATAAGTTTATTTGTAAAATATTTTGTATTTGAAATATATTTATAATGATGTATTCTCAACTGAATCCGCTACTGTCCTTCGCCTTGTATTTTTCTTCATTTAATATCGTAGTACGGTCGATGCATGTATGCCGTTTCTAGTAGTCGTTCATTTCAGTATTTTTTTTCAGGATGTGGATGGCGACACCCCCCTGCACGATGCTATCGCTAAGAAACGTGATGATATTGTTACTCTCCTACTGGAAGGGGGTGCGGACATGACTTTGTCCAATAACAATGGTTTCAACTCTCTTCAACACGCTGCATTACGTGGAAACCCAAGGTATGATGACTGTGATTTTTTCTTGTCATTTACGTCATGTTCACGATATTGTTGTAAGGCTTTCCTCACTGACGTCATGTTCACGATATAGTAATGAGACTTTCCTCACTGACGTCGTGTTCACGATATTGTTCTGACGCTTCCCTCACTGACGTCATGTTCACGATATTGTTCTGAGACTTTCCTCACTGACGTCATGTTCACGGTATTGTTCTGAGACTTACCTCACTGACGTCATGTTCACGGTATTGTTCTGAGGCTTTCCTCACTGACGTCATGTTCGCGATATTGTTCTGTGACTTTCCTCACTGACGTCATTCTGACGATATTATTCTAAGGCTTTCCTCACTTACATCATGTTCACGATATTCTTCTGAGGCTTTCCTCACTGACTCGCTTTTACGATGTTGCTCCGAGGCTCTTCTCACTGACGTCGCTTTTACGATGTTGCTCTGAGGCTCTTCTCACTGACGTGATGGAAAGAAAATTTTGAGAGTGTCTGCCTAAGACTTTGCTTTAAGGGTGCCTTTCAAAAACAAATCTGTTTGTGACTACATAGGTTTTTGCTGTTCAGAAAGTTGGGTAAACCTGTATTTTGAGAACGTATAAATACTTGATGGCAAGATAATAGGAATTAAATTAAGTCTTTTCCTTCCATAGTAGTAAATCTACTCCTTCCAAAGAGTTTAGTGATTAAGGTATTTATGTTGTCTGAGATCATATAGCTACTTGATTTCAAGATAATGGAAATTAAAGTAAAACTGTTCCTTCCATGGTGTTCAGTGTGTAAGGTATTCTTGTTGTCTGAGATCCTTTAAACACTTCATAATGTAATTAAAATTTAGAATGATTGCTCGAAATGTTGTGTCAAACAGCAATTGTTCCACATTATATTATAGTTTATGTTTCATACGTAGATACTACGTATGTATTAAACAATATAGTAGACACGTGAATCCAATTATTTTTTTTATGTAAATTTATGTATACATTTTATAAGATATATGTACATATTATCAATCAAAACTTCTTTTCCTCCTTCATTTTAGTGCAATGAAAATATTATTAAGTAAACTGCCCGGAGCGTGGATCATTGATGAAAAAAAGGATGACGGATACTCTGCTCTACATTTGGCTGCATTAAATAATCATGTTGAAGTAGCGGAACTTCTTATCAAACAGGTATGAATAAATGAAAGCTATCTCAATTAGACTGCCCAGGTATCAAACAGGTATTAATAAATGAAAGCTTTCTCAATTAGACTGCCCCGGTGAGCACACCAAATTGACTGTATAGCACCGTAATCTGTCGGTTAGAAAGCACAGGTTAGCCGTATAGTACCGTAATTTGTCGGTTAACATCCCCAGGCTAACATTAAAGTACGGTAATCTGTCGGTAAGCATGCCCAGGTTGACCGTAAAGTACCGTAACCTGTCGGTGAGCATGCCCAGGTTGACCATATACGTAGTAGCTATCGTATTCTGTCGGTTAACAAATGCAGGTTAGAAATAGATCTCTATATTTAGCGTACTTCACGGTGATTTGCTTACGGGAAGATAACCTTATATCAAGTGAATATTTTGGATATAGATATAAAATATACTAGATCATATTTAAATTTAATATATGAAAGCGATTTTTGAAAGCGAGTTTAGGCACGTCGCCTTTAAGTGCAAAACTTCAGTTAAAGTGCCTTTATCAGCAAAAACTTTTATTTGCAATGTTGAAACCAGGTGTAGTGTCAAACATATCGGTGAAAAATTTTTTGAATTTGATCAAATCGTTTTCTTGTGATGGCGGCAAACCAAAGTCTGATGTCATTCGTGGTAGTTTGTATATACATCTTCTATTGAATAGTCCCTTGCATGACGCCTTAAAAGTAAGTCATTTCAGACTTTTTTGACGACAGACAAGGTCCATGAAAAGGCGAATTTTTGACAAGTTTAAACAGCCATAACAATAGACAGATTTCACTAACCTAAAAAGCATCCTTCATTGATACGTTGGAAATCGCACCTAACTATGATATCGCGAATAAAAACTTTTGCTGACAGGGGCACTATCCTTCAAAGTATGTGTTTTTTGTGGAAAATAGTATCGTTTTAGGTGATTCTAAAAATTATCGTCGCTATATCTCTCACAAATTATCATTATTGATCTGTTAGATAAAAAAAATTTCTATTCGGGCATTTCTTCTCGAACGCCGATTGGTTAAAATATTAACGGAACGATAGGTTAAACTTATGTAATCGTGCTTTAAAAAATTTTCCCAGTTCACTCATTGAAAAAAATTTCCAAAGAGATGAATTATGAAAAGTTTTCAGAATTTATTTATAGCAGCAGGACTAAAACATACGGACTGGCTGCAGGATAGTGTCTCGAAATCAAGGCTGCAATTGGACTTTTTTGATTTCTACTTTTCTATTGTTTTTAACTCTGATTGGTTGATATCTCAGCATAAGATCACCTGGCCGTCAGTTGGGATTTGTTCATCTTGAACTTTGTGCATTGTTGTTTTATAAAACAGGGCAAAGCCGATATAAATATTCAAAATATCAACCTTCAAACTCCGCTTCATCTTGCTGTGGAAAGACAACACACTCAAATAGTGAGAGTAAGTGATGATAATTATATAGTTACAAGTACTTGGTGGCGTGTAGTAACGAGTGAAGTATGCCCCGGTTTCAAAATCTCGAAGCTTCCAATTAATTATCAAAACGACAGACTTGAGTTTGTTGGAAAATTCCAATTTTTCTTTGGAGAGTGCTAGACTGAAAGATTCATGTTTTTTAACTGATCCGTCTTGTTGTGATCTTCATAATGTTGCAAATTTAAACATTAGATCACTCCTGATGAAGACACTAGACTGGAGTGTATAGGGACTTATGTTTCAACAACAGATTGCTTGTGATGAAGACACTAGACTGGACTATATAAGGACTCAAGTTTCAACATCAGATCACTCCTAACAAAGTCACTAGACTGGAGTATAAAAGAACTAAAGTTTCAACATTAGATCACTCCTGATGAAGACACTAGACTGGAGTATATAAGGGCTCAAGTTTCTACATCCCATCACTCCTGGTGAAGACACTAGACTGGAGTATTTAAGGACTCAAGTTTCAACATCAGAGCACTCCTGATAAAGACGTTATGTCAAAGACTCAACAGACTAGTCAATAGAGTGATTTAGAAAACACGACGTTTTGTCTAAGACGTCGTCAAATTTTCGCGAGGGATCTGGGGCTAGGACGCCACCACGTCGTAAAGTATTTACGATTTAGCAAACCTTTTGTAGGACTTCGTCAAATGATAAAAAAGTTTCGTCCATTTCGGCAATTTTTCTGCTGAATTGTGTTTTCCTATAGTTTTAAACTAATTTTTTGATATCGAAAATATACTGCAGTATATTGATTTCAATAAAATTATAAATAAAAGCAAAATCATCGACATACAGCTTTGTGACTAAAATTGTTTTGACTGCTAGAAACCCCGAAATTAGAGCAGACCCTGGGTTGTTTTTGTTTTGTTTTTCGCTTCAGGAAACAAAACATTCGCAATTTTTCTCAAATGATTATATGTAGGTCTTTATAATCTTTTACAAGCAAATATCAAGGATATTTCCTTATTTTTGTCTAAAAATTATGTTTTTTCAGCCGTCGATACGACGTCAAGTTATGTGTTTTCACGTCGTCGTCGTTAACACGACTGCCGTCGTCGATTGAACCGGAAGTAAAAGGCGCGTGCCACGCCTTTTTCACAGCGTCTTAGACGAAACGTCGTGTTTGCTAAATCACTCTAATATACAATCACGTGCGCTCACCTAGAAAGTGAAAATACAATTTTATATTTTGCTATTTTGCTCATTTATGATGAAGCCTTTATGTGAACTAGTTTCTTTTAACTCAGTCGTGTCTTTCATTTTTCCAGCTTCTCGTTCGTGAGAAAGCGAGGCTAGATGTTCCAGACAGAGATGGTGACACAGCCTTACATGAAGCATTAAGATATCATACTCTCTCGCAACTAAGATTGCTTCAAGATCAGCCAGATGTCGGGAAGGTATTGTCGATAATAACTAATGTGTCCATGTTGCTGTGTTTTGCTTTATAATTCGTTTAATGAATCATTAGCGAGCTTTAGCAAGAGTACGACTACGAGTCAGTGAACTCCATAAATAACTGGAATGATAACTTCGCCGCCATCTTTGAAGCCAAGCATGATGCTTTTTTGGTAGGTTAGCACTATTTTCCACCCAGCAAACCGCCCTTTACTTTGAAATAATATATTTTACACAATCGGAAATAAATTAAAGATGGCGGCTAATGGGAAAGAACTAAAAGCTAAAAGGAAACCATGCAAGTACTGGTGCTAGGTCGTTTTGAGATGGCGAGTAATTTTATATTTTTATAATACAGTTTTTAATATCAACATATGAAAATATTTACAGATAAATGTTGCAGTATAAATTTTCATGCAACCACCTTAAGTTATAAACTTATAATCCTGGCTGGAAAATATGTCGTTTTTCGACGATTGTGTAAAATATTATATAAAAGATTATATTGTGTAAAATATTAGATTGTGCAAAATATTATATTGTGTATAATATTATATTTCAAAGTAAAGGGCGGTTTGCTGGGTGGAAAATAGTGCTAACCTTTTTGGTAGGTATGATCCAGGCCCTTGCGCGGTTTTGTAGGTATGATCCAGGCTCCTGGATACCATACAAACGCGCGGTCTTGTTCATTTTCCGAATGAAAAACGATTAACAATTTTAATAGAGGTTATGTTCTTTCGTTTGTTGAGCTAAATCAAGCCGCATTTCACCAAAAGTCAAACATAGCTGATAGCTTTTTAAGAACATGCAAATTTTGGACACTCTTTTATGAATGGGGAAATTTTGGATGAAAGAAGGCAAGTTCGGCGAAAAAGCAAAGCCGTAGTGTTTTTAAAACATTGTTTTTCTCATTCTCCACTATGAATTTGATAAAAAAATAAACAATGAAATGTGCTTTTTACGTATGTCTTACATGTACAATATTTTTGATCTATTTAGTATATGTCAGATAAATCAGTACGGACAGAAAACTAAATCTCTCGAGTCATGTAAACATTCTGCCGACTGAAAACAGTAATCGTCAACATCTTCAACTGACTGCTCATTGCTGTATTCCGTTTGTCACTGCTTATTTTTCAGAAAAATGAATGTATTGTCAAAAAATTTTTATATAACAGTCCTAGTTGTACTCATTAGGGAGCTTTAGCCACGAGAGTACGACATTTTGGCGCGAAAACATTGTTGCGACAACAACAAAATGTAGCCGTCATCAATCTGAGTACGAAGTTTTGTAAAAAATTCGTAGTCGCGACTACGATGTCTTGTTAAGCAAAGAAAGTAGGTATATTTTTTCGCTGTGTAAGAAATTAGTTTACAGTACTATTTTTGAGCATCCAGGCTTTACTTTAGAACCTTTTTTGAGCGCATATGTACATTTAAAAACAAAATATTACCTTGAAAACTTTCATATATTTCGTACGCAAAGTGAACGGTAAACAAACAATAAAATAGTATAAATATATCGTACGTAAAATTTAAAACAGTGAAGATTTTTTACTCTAAAGAGTCCTATGTTCTCGCAAAATCATTATTACCGATTAATTGATATCATTATTGACAAATGGAGCCGTAGCTGCTTCGCAAACGTCAGTATTTTTCAAAATAAAAAGGCTCGTTCTGTTGTTTATAGCTAAAACCAAATTTTGACGAAGCGACAACGACAACAGACTTCCTCGTGGTATTCCCTTACACGGTCAAACTTCGTACTCGTTCTCGTAGTCGGACATTTGCTAAAGCTCACTAATATTACATGGAGGGAAAAGGGGCCTGGAAACTGTTGTCAAAACATGGATGCCAAAAGGAAATTTTGGATGAAAACTTTCGCTTGAAAATTTATTTTATCAGTCTCTCTCTCCTGATAGCTAATGCAGCTCAATTCATAATTACACATTGGGTTTAAACCACCATCGAAGCCCCTAAATCCAGTGGCGGATCTAGGATTTTTCAAACATCAGTCATAAAACATCGGAGGCGCTTTGCATCTGGGGAGGTCTGAGGCATTCTCCTGAGAAATTGGCAAATATTTAGGCTCATTATCATGCCAAATATATGGCTCATTAGCATGTCTAGGAACAATACTTGAATGTTTTGCCAAATATTTAGGCTCATTATCATGCCAAATATATGGCTCATTAGCATGTCTAGGAACGTAAAATTTATTTTACAATAATGCTATTCAAAACAGATATAGTCTTTATAAATTTCTACCAAGTTGTCAGGCATAGACCCCCTAGAGACCCCCATTCAAACCTCTATGTAATGAGTTAAGTTAGAAATTTGGTACTACAAGTGACAGTTCATAGATATAGAAAAGCTCAGACTTCAAACAATGCAAGTTTATTGTAACCCTTTACCCATTTCCACATCAGTGCCAGCAAATTCACTTTTTGAGAAAAAACTCAAAATTTTTTTCTGCCAAAGATTGAGCAAAATTATCAGAGTAAAATTTGTAGTTAAGGACAGCTTAATGCCATAAATGTTTATTAGGCATTTCACTAGACTATTATCTTCTGTAGGTATATGCAAGGTGTGCTATATAGCCATCACTAGTAGCATTGTATTTGCAAATACAAACAGAGTGTAACCAACATGTCTGTAATTATATAATTACATGAATGTTAAAATTGGTTCATGTGTCATGCTTACTGGTGATGATAAATATCTTTTCATATGATCAAAGCTCGTTTAAATGTAAATCTGAAATAATTTAGTTTAGAAATTATAATGATCATCAGAAAAATTACCTAGTGATCATGAAAAATACTTTGCTGTTTTGCCAAATTTCATGTTTATCTGCATACATAGAAAGACATTTTTACTTTATAGAAAATGCTTTTCATACATCAATAGCCCTTTGAAATTTATGGCAAACAATCTGGTATGAGCCGTAGATTAACACACCTTTACATCTCTACATGAGGTGTTCAGTTAGAAAAGGGGACAATATGTGACATGGGACAACATTTCATGTATGTGAAATACTCAGGTTTAATACCATTCCAGTCAAATTGTCAAAATAAAAAGCTTCATGGATCAGAAGACTCAAAATCACAGGTTATAGTAAATAGCTTCTCATGTAATCAATGTTAGTTTTCTCAAATCTTAAACAATATTTAGTATAACTGTCCAATGATTGAATGATCAATGATCATAAACTGAAAAGCCCCAAATATTTGTTTATGATAAAGTAAATAATAGTATGATGCCTTATGGCTACATTCATGCATACACTTCACTTGTCCTTAACTTACGATTTTGGATGTAAATTTCTGCTGATAAAACTCAAAACAATGTTGGCTTTCTTTTGAACATCAATGACTGAAATGTCGCTCGCGAGATCGTCTTTGCCAAGCATTTACAATTTATCCATAAATTTTTCACCCTCTTGAAAAAATTCACAGTTTGGACAGCAGCATTCATGTCAATATATGAATTTGTAAAAGATTTCCATAAATTCCATATGATTGTAGTTTAGTTTCTATAATGCTTATAAAAATTACTATGAAACGATCAAAAATTCAATTCAAACACCGCATAAAACAATCTTTCATATGACATTCCTTTCACGAGGAAACATCAGCCTAACAAAATTGACCTGCTCACCACTGTGTGACTTCATAGCTCATTTGGTCAGAGCACTGCACCGGCACCGCAGAGGTTATGGGTTCGAATCCCGTTGAGTCACGTGAATTTTTCAGGTTCATGAGACAGTTGCTTAAATTGTCTAGAAAAGTGCGAACATCATATCTACATTTAATTTCAAACACCGCACTGCATAAAACAATCTTTCAAGTGAGCTTGACTATGTTAGTTCAGTTGGCTATCAGTCGAAATCCGTCAAACCAATCACAATAAAACAAAAATTCAAATGAACCAATTGTAAGATAGCAATCGGACTCCCTTATACGTCGGGCCACCCCCTCTTATCAGGCGAGACCATTCCAGACTGTCCACTGATCTGGCCATTGACCAATAAAATAAGCGTTTTGGCGTTCATAGACTCCTTTATCCGTCGAACCAGTCAAGCCCATTGATTTCTATAATAACTGGAGGGGCTAACTTTACTGGGGCGAGGATGCCAAAAAAATGGCGGCCAAAGGACGTATTTCCGCTGAAATGATCGCTTTGCCGAAAAATAATATTCTCGACCTCCCCCTGGTGTCTATAGTAAATTATAAAGAATTTTTCAAAAACAAACACGATATCACAGAATATGGATATCGTTAGTTCCACATTCTGTGACGATTCTTTTTTGGCATTTCTTTTATAATGCCAACACTTCAATCGTTCAATTGTTGGATGTCGTAGTTTCCACAAAAAGGAACATATCGCTTCTCACAGGTGAGGTAGTTGTTTGTTTTGTTAGTCCGTCAACGATTGAAAAGCAATTATGTATACACTTGAAAAGCCATAAAATACATATTAAAGATCGTATTTTTTAAGACTGACTTGAACGCCAAATATACTGATGTTTTCCTGTTTTTGTTTATAAAATTCTGCATACTTTTCTGTCATTTGTTAATGCATGAAATCGTACCCATTTATTTGCAAAATAGTTTCCCTAAAGCAAAAAAGACCCTGCACACATTTTACTCTGTGAGTAAGTATCAAAAAAGAAATGATCAGCCCCAACGGTACCCATGATTTGGAGCAGAGCTTGTTATGTTCTATTTGCTGACAACATGCAGGGAAGATCAAGGAGTAAAGATGACTGGAAGATGTTATTGACCAGGCAGAGTCTTAAAAAATGATAATGCTGTAAAGATAATTGATTTATTGTCTGCCCTATCCAGAGTTATTTAATTTGATTGTGGTCAAATTCTATGGATGGAGACAATGGATTCACTAAGGATGCCTTGAATGCTTTGAAGTTAAAGTTCATGATCCAAAGAAAGATGGCAAGAAGGTTGTGTGTGTTTTGATGCTTAATGAAATGTCAATT